GTGTCTTAGATGGGTTAAATTGGGCTAAGTTTAGTCGTCCCCAATCGGAGACTAGCAAGAGTTCTCTTGATTTCAGATACAAGCTGTTCATAGTTTTTTAGTTAGTGGTCTTCACAATGGAGCAAGGGATTTTAATTTTGATACAAAAGAGTTTTTAATCGAAGATTCATCGAATCGAATTCATAATAAGGAAATATAAAGATACCATCAAATTTTTGCTAAATTTAGATTTTGTTACATTAAATGACGTATCTTTGGGTGTATTGAAATATTTTATCATATCGCTGCATATTTTCAGAAACAAAACGTAATTGATTAGATTATTCAATGGCTTCCGTGATGTCGTAATATTCTGAAGCATTTCATAAAATCCTTATTAATATCATACAAATCAATATTGAACAGGGGTTTTTTTTTAAGGGATGATAATGGAATGGTAACCCCACCCGCGCTATCGGTATATACTGGCGGGACACCAGTGAAGGATAATAGGTGATTATGAAGCAGGTCAGTTAGCCCATCGTGACGAATTCAACAAGAATTGTTCACAATGGTTTCCAGGGGGAACCACGTGGAGGTCGACCTAATAGGGCATATTGCTAGCAATGGGGCTGTCAAACTCCATTGCTAACAATCCCTTTCCTCCCTATTGAACAGGGGTTTGTTTATTAGTTGCCTCTTGGCGTTTTAATGGCTATATGAATGGCCAATCACTATATTTGAGGGATTGTTAGTATCATGCTAATGCGGATTAACAGTCTTCTTGTTAGCAATATACCCTGCCAGGTCGACCTCCACGTAATTCCCCCTGGAAACTATCGTGCTGAATTCCAGGTGCATTCATCACGATGGGCTAACTGATCTATCTTTTCATTCTCACCTATCATTTCTCACTGGTGCCCCGCCAGTGTATACCGTTAACGCAGATGGGGTTACCATTCCTTTATCATCTATTAACGAAAAAATCAAACACTATGAAATTTAGCTCATCACCAAATTGTTTATAATTACTCATTCATTCTCATTCCAAAGGTTGCCTGGAAGAGATCGCTTTTAGCGATAAGGTCGTCCATTGTTTTCTCATTGTGATTATTTCTTGTAATTGTTTATATTTATAATAAGTTTACTATTGTAATCTTTTGAAGGAAACAATAAAAAGTATCTATCTATCTATCTTATCCTTTGATATAAGCTACTTTTAATTCCTGTCAGTGATCATATCCCAGTCACGCAAACGAAGTCACCGGTAAAAGTTACTGCCCAATATTTTCATTTCCTTGGGACATATCGTCATAGTCGTAGAATACTGACGGATCTTTATATGTAATATTCGTCAGATCCGTCAGTATTCTACGACTATGACGATATATGGAAAGGAATATGAGTCATTTAGCAATACTGTAATCGTCAACATTCCTCGTTTGTTATACTAACGAGAGGTTTATTTTCATTGTGAAATAGGTAATGAATGTCCCTCGTGACCGCTCACATGACCGGCGTGGCATCGACTACGATACAAAGCTGTTACTACAGTTCTAAAATTAAAAATTGTTAGTGAGATGAAATTGGCATGGCGACGAGTGTAATTCATCTCGCTTTACCATTAATGACACTTGCAACAGTTTAGATAAACACGTAATATTTATTATTACTTTTTAAATTTTTTTTTAACAACTTAGAATGGCAAACAAGCTGACGGTCCACCTGATGGAAAGTAGTAACCGTCGCCTATAGACATGACATTTTCAGACATTTTCTTCCACGCACAACCATTCTTTGGAATCAACTTCCAGCAGCAGTATTTCCGAACAGATACGACAACATAACCTTCAAGAAAAGAGTATATTCCTTTTTAAAAGGCCGGCAGCACACCTGCAATGCCGCTGGTGTTGTGGATGACCATGGGCGGCGGTACTCACTTACCATCAGGTGAGTCGCATGCTCGTTTGCCCCCTGTGTTGTAAAAAATAAACATAATAAGATAATAAAACTTCTATGATACATTTATATAGATAGATATTGTTAAAAATTAAAATAATATATTAAAAATGATTTAATATATATTAGAATATAATAATATATAATATAAATCAATATACATATTTTAGGTGAATTATATATGTTACTGTACTGTGGTTTGGTCATTTGGAGAGGATGGATGAAAGAAGAATTACGAAAGAGATTTATCGGACAAGAATGAATGGTGATGTCGGTAGGGGCCGCCCTAGACGGACGTATGTTGACTAAATATGAGACGTGTTGAAGAAGGGCCAAATTAAAAGTACCCGTAAACGGCGAGCGTGTATGAAAAGATTGATGTATGTGGAAGAAGCGAAAGAGATTTGTTTGAATCGAAGTATTTGGCGTTCCATTGTTTCTGCCTACTCTAATGGGAGACAGGCGTGACAGATATGTATGGTATGTATATAGGTTACTGTATTTCACTTGAATTATTCAATTGTCATTGTATATTTTCGTTTATGGTGCAATATAGAGTTGAATAAATAAATAAATAGTAAATAATTTAATGGAAACGTAAATAAAAATATTATTTACCAAATCATATTAAAACCGCATAAAGTGCCTTTTTTTTGGATGAAAATTGTATGGTAACCCCGCCTGCGCTAACGGTATACGCTGGCGGAGCACCAGTGAAAGGTCATAGATGAGAATGAAAACAGGCCAGTTAGCCCATCATGATGAATTCATCAGGAATTAACCATGATAGTTTCCAGGGGGAACCGCGTGAAGGTCGACCTGGTTAGGTATATTGCTAGTAATGGGATTTTTAGTCTGCATTACTAACAATCCCTTTCCCCCCCGCATAAAGTGCCTCAGTAGAACTTCAATAAACATAAACAGTTTTTTTTTTTTGTTATAAATTATATGTATTCAAACATTTTGTTAAATATATATAAAGGAAGTCATGTTTTATTTATTGCACAATTTGAATTATTGAATTACATAACGAGTTATCACGTGCTCCGTAACCGGTCGCTGAGTACTCGATGATCAAGTCCCGAGCTTGTTTTTTCATCATTAATAAATTATGACGGTATACGTAGAATTTTAAGGTAAGGCTTGTAATTATGTTCATTGTTTGGTCTTGTTTTTTTTTTTATTTTTATTTTTAAGTCGCTGTTTGCTAGGGTTTCGCTTGCAGGAATATGTACGTTACATTGTTTCTGTCTCAAGAGTACTCATAAGACGGCCAGTGTTTCAGGAGTTACGTTAGGGGTGACACAGTGTATCTTGTGGCGTCTTTAGTCATGTTTATGACTGTAGCTGGTAGTATTTTTCTGCTATATGAATAAATTACTTGTTTTCTATTTCTTTTTATATTACTGAGGTGACAAACAAGCATACGACCTACCTGATGGTAAGTTGTTACCTGATGGTAAGACTTTGTATAGATTCTTTTGTTAAATTCATTTATGCATGTATCATTGCACATATGTATAGATTATAAGTGTACAAATCTTTGAAATTTAAAATATTACTGTAGTCTATTTATTATATAACTAGTATTGTAGTTTTTATAAATTTTCTTAATAATAATTATATATTATGAATACGCATGTCGTGGCGGCCTTTAATTGAGGCAGCATTTTATAATGTAACCATATTATCATGAATTTTTTAAGTAGATATAAATGTATGCTTTGTTGGTTGTCCTTAAATAAATAAATAAATAAGAGTTTATTGTGTCCTATGAACAATTGGAATACTACGAGCAATACGCGCGCGATGCTGTCCCTAAAGAAACCTCTTTACCACTGTTTTGAAGAACCTATGCTGCGATCTCTTGTCAAAACCTCGGCAGAGAGCTCGATTCTTACCCTGAGGGCCTACCATGAAATGTTTTCCGAAATTTAGGAGCCAAACGAAACAAAAATTTTATGTTAAAATTACATTAATACATACCGTTTGGAAATATTAAAAATGTTGTTCCTTTGGACTTTTATGATAGGATGTATGACAAACGAAATGTTAAATTCCATTTATTGATCCGATTTTGGTATAAACAAAAACACGAAATTGAGACCGAAATTTCGGAATCTCATTTCATGGTAGACCCGCAGAGCGTTCGTGGGAGTGGGAGTTCGTGAGAGTTCAGTTGCATTAGTTTTATCCAGTAAAGTAAATTTATAATACACACCATACATCATCATTTCAGCCTTTAACTGTCCACTGCTGAACATAAGCCTTCCTATAAGAGGAGTTTTGCCAGTTGTTGGCACGCTTGGCAGACGGGTTGGCAACCGCAGTTAGGCTTTTAGAGACGTCTTAAGAGGCTGCCCATCCCTCTACTAAATTACATCTCTAATAAATTACAACTATTTTTTTTATACAACTTAGAATGGCAAACAAGCTGACGGCCCACCTGATGGAGAGTGGTAACCGTCGCCTATAGAGATGAGCAGTACCATGAACATAACAGAGTATACTGTTTCGCCCATGATACCCCCCATGCGCTGCCATTCCTGAGGACTCAGGTGTTATTTATATAAATTTATTAAGTGTTATTTATTTATATAAAATTATATAAATATATATATATATATATATATATATATATATATATATATATATATATATATATATATATATATATATAAATATATATAAATATATATATATATATATATCTTATATATCTATCAAGTCAATTATAATAATATTATTGCATTCAACAGTTTTTTTTTTAATTTGGTAATAACATGCATGTTTTGCCAATCAAGAACAATTATGTTAGTTTATTTGAGATTCTCAAAAATTGTTGAATCAATTCTTGTTTATAAAATCTAAAAGACCAGTCTCTAACGAAGATAAGTGCTCAATTAGGGTTGCCACTACTAAGATTGTTAGGTATAAGTTGTATTTTTGCGCATGCAAGGCTTACAAGGCCTGGCCACACATATCATTAACAATAATTGTACTGTGAGATCGTTTTGTCCTAACATAAAAACAAAACGTACTGAGTTTGATTCTGGCTACTTTAGAAGAAAATCCGGTTATTTGGGTACCCAGCAGCAGGATTTCCGAACCGACACGACATCATAACCTTCAAGAAAAGAGCATATTCCTTTTTAAAAGGCCGGCAGCACACCTGCAATGCCGTTGGTGTTGCGGGTGATCATGGGCGGCGGTAGTCACTTACCATCAGGTGAGTCGCATGCTCGTTTGCCCCCTGTGTTGTAAAAAAAAAAACTTTCAGCTACTCAAAGGTTTTTGAGAGGTTTGATGTTTTTATAAATAAGGGTGTTATGCTTTGTTTTTTTTTTATATAACTTAGAATGGCTAACAAGCTGACGGCCAACCTGATGGAAAATGGTAACCTGCGCCTAGAGACATGAGCAGTACCATGGACATAACAGAGTATACTGTTTCGCCCATGATATTCCCTAGAGATCCCTTTATGGGATAAGTCCGCCATTGTATATTAAATCATTTAATGTATTCAGTATGAATTATGTAGAATAAAGATTTTACAATACAATTTTACACTCATAAATTTTCCTTGATATTTTTTCCTGTTATTAATTATGGATTCAAATATTTTACTATCAAATTCATGGAATTGCCACTTAAGTTTTCTCAATAAAATGTCTATAAATAAACAAAATATATGTGTGATTCATTGGTCTACGCGACTCCGGTCAGTGCACCCATTGCAAATATTAGGCGTACTCGTGAAATTGCACAAAATTATCTATATACACATGGGTGTTGTTTGAATAAAATGAATCTTATGCGTTGGGAAATAGCGTAAAAATTTGCATACACTTACCTTAGTCCCCTGTACATAAATAGAGTTAAGACAAATCAATCAAAATTAAATCATTCTCGTAACAAGATAAGGTTAATATTTGCATAACAATGATGAGATTCGCGAGATCAACTTCACGTTGTAATTGAAATCTTCCCGCTTCGTCCCTACCTCGCGTATGTCATTCAATATAAACAATACTGGGAAATACTCATAATGGAATGTGCGGCAGGTTTTGTAGTTTCTTTTTTTAATGGATGACAATGGTGTGGTATCCTCGCCTTTGCTAATGATGTACGTTGAGGGGGCCAATGAGGGATATGATCTGAGTTGAAAAGTCAGGTCAGTTAGCCCATCGTGACGAATACACTAGGAATTCAGCACGGTGGTTTCCAAGGGGAACCAAGTGTATATAATGAACCAAGGAACCAAGGAACAAAGGAACCAAGTGTGTATGTGTGTACCAAAGTATATATATATATATATATATATATATATATATATATATATATATATATAAAATTTAGGAATTTCATTAACATTTACATATAGTTTATATTTATATATTTAGTTCATAGTGAAAAATTCTGAAATTAAATGAAAGGATTAGAATGTTTTTATTCCATTTCTTATTCTTATAATATTTTTTTTAATGGGAAAAATCTTTTCAGGACTGTATAAATTAGCTTTTTTTTGGAACAAAATGTATTTTATGTTTTTTTTTTTTTATTATAACAATAGACATCCGTTTGTTAAACATTCAGATTATAGTATTTGTGATATTATTGTATAAGTTATCATGATAGACTTACTTACACTGATAAATTTTAATATAATATTCACGATGACACGCGAAGGAGCTGGATTTAGTTCACATTATCATCATGACCCAGCAGTTTCTTAGAATTACGCATACTACGTACATATATACATATATATCCTGTATTTTTAATATATCGTAAAACTAAATAAGCACGTTGATTTCTGCGAAAAAAAATAGCACCTTTAGTGATAATAAATAAGGTACCTAGATATAAATTTCGAATATTGTGATATTTTTATATATATAATATAATTCCTAAGTGTTATATCATTGGAAGTACAAAATTGTCATTGGAAATAGATCGGATTTATATTGATATTCAATACAAGAGTTATCCTATTGTTTATTTATTTACTTTAATTTAGAATTAACTTGAGCAAAAAATGGTAGACGCTTTTTATTTGTATACTATTGTTTTTATTGTTTTATTTTTGTTTCTTTTGTTTTGTGTGCTTCTGTGTGAGTCGCTTATTCCTTTTTATAAATTATTTCTTTCTTCTTTATATTTTTTTTTCAATTCACACGGTAATAAATGCTATCGATTTCAAGAAGAGTTAGGAGTTAATAATTAATTTAGCCGTGTGCTCCCGACATAGAATAGGCCACCCTTTCCTTTCCCGTAGGTGTAGTAAGAGGCGCTAAGGGAGTGCGAGAGATGGACAGCAGCGTCCCTTTTAAAACATCTCCAAAGACTCACTGCGGTTGTCAATCCGCCTGTCAAGCGAGGCAATTACTATCAAAACCCTCTCAAGGGGGAGACTTATGTTCAGCATTGGACAGTTAAAGGCTGACGATGAATTCATTTAGAAACTACTTCCTCTGTTTCACGGTAGAGACACGAATAGGACAGAGTTAGCCAGCGTTTTGCCCCTTGTGTTGTAAAAAAAACTTCTTTCCACTTGTTTCTTTCCCATTGGTATCGTAGGAGGCAACTAAGGCAGTTGCTTCCTACGATACCATTAATGGTCGATAGATTTTGCCAACCGTAGGAACTAATGGCAAAATCTCCCAAGGAGGTTTATGCTCAGCAGTGGACGATGAACTTTAATTATATATTATTGTTTTTAAGTCTTAAATAAATGGAATAGACGCTAGTATTTATAAATTACGCGGCGTGTGATGTAATGCCCTAATGAGTTACAGTATGTCCATTAATACAAGTTATCGTGCGATATTTGTGAACATTGATATTGGTCTTACGTATTGATATTAAGCACTCGTTACTAGCAAATATTACCAATTTTTTTTTGTTATTATTGTATCAGCCATTATGTGTCCACTGCTGAACATAGGCCTCCCCCATAAATAGGGGGTTTGCTAGTAGTTTTTTTTAATGGATGATAATGGAATGCCGCGCTAATGGAATACGCTAGGAGGCACCAGAGAGGGATGATAGACGAGGATGAAAGAGTTCAGTTAGCCCATCGTGACGAATTCAACAATAAATCTATCGATCCACTGTCGATGGTTTCCACGGGGAACCGCGTATAGGTCGACTTGACTTGAATGTACCCTACATTGCCAGCAATAGGGACTCGTGAGCCCAATTACTAACAATCCCTTCCCTCTTTTTTGCCAGTAGTGGTCACGCTTGCAAACTTTGCAAAGGAAGTGGTGGCCCATTGTATGCCCGGGACAACACTGCATTACCTAGGGGTGGGGGGGGGGGGTAATAATGAGGATTAGTAGCCCGATTGCTAGCAAAACACTTTGTCAGGTCGACCTCCTCGCGGTTTCCCCTGGAAATCATTGTGTTCAATTCCAAGTGTATTTATCACGATGAACTAACTGATCTGTCTTTTCATCCCCACCTGTCCGATACTGCAGGCGGAGTTACCATTCCATTGCCATCCATTAAAAAAACATATACGTGGTATAACGTCGTAGTACGTTATACTACGTGTATGTTTTTTACTGACAAAATGGCAATATTATAATAGAAACGAGATAAAAGAAACACACTAGTGTGCGTGTTTTGTGAATGTTGCAAAAATAGCAATTAATCACGTATTTGTAAAATGTGTATTGAGATTTCTTCAGAGTCGTCAACGCACGTTGTATTATTATTACCAGTAGTAATATTTTGAAATTGGAATTAGTAAGGACAGGAACAGAGATCAACGACGTCTAGATGGAGTCCACAACGTTTTTTGAAATGATATTCTTCTAAAATTATATTAATCTTGTAATTAATTACTTTTATCATTGGAAAAGGTAATTTTATTTATTTATATTCAAATACGACCTTCGTACATTTTGACAAGAGATTGAAGATTAATACCTATGTTTACGTAAATGTTGTCCGATTGGTAAAACGATTGCTGTTGCGATAAAATCAGCTATTGTTCTTTCAACTGAGTTACTTAATAATCACGCATGGGTATATAGGAGTTTATAATTTTTTTTATTGATAATTTCGGTATGAAGGGTGGGATATGGCGTGAAATTACAGGGTACAGAGGAATAACATCTGAGTCCTCAGGAATGGCAACGCATGGGCGGTATCATGGGCGAAACAGTATACACTGTTATGTCCATGATACTGCTCATGTCTATAGGCGACGGTTACCACTTACCATCAGGTGGGCCGTCAGATTGTTTGCCATTCTAAGTTGTATAAAAAAAAAGTTGCCAACCCAGTGATATTTGCCAGTTGTTACTGGTAAAACCCCTCTTGTTGGGGAGACCTATGTCCAGCAGTGGACAGTCGACGAATTAAAAAGATGTTTTGTTTATAATTTGAAGTCTGTGTGTCAGTTTAGGTTTTGTTCGTTCACTTTTTTGCTTCGTTGGTTTGCTTTGTATATTTTTTATATAGTTATATTATCTTTCTAAAACACGGTGTTTCCATACCAGCATACACTCCTTTCGCCCACAAAAAAATAAAACGTTTTCTCTGTATGATACGAGTATTAGGTTATATTTAGACTAGTTCAACTTTTTTTATTTTGTATTTATTTATTTTGGACAACTTGGGTCCATTTTTGTTAGTAAGTGTACCTAAAAAACTATGTTAATATTTATAATAACATACGTATCATCTTAATTCTATAAAACAAATAATAATTGTAATCTATAAAAAATAGCAATTTGATTATTGGGGAAATTTTGAAGTGGACGATGTTTGAAGTTTATCGTAATGAAATCATAGCGCAAATGGTAAGAGTCTACAGAAAATATGTAATTTTCAGAGGCATTGAATTTAAAAAAAAAAGAAAAAATTTAATAAATGAATGAATGAGTATATTTTATTTGCATTATACAATATAGGAAATAAGCAAGACAATTATTAAATATAACGATATAAGTACAGTAAGGCGGTCTTATTGCTGAGAGCAATCTTTTCAGGACAACCTTAGGGTAAAAAAATTAAATATACAAAAATTTGAAAATATGAGTTATGTATTTTAATTATATTTCCTTTAACAATGAATTTTTCATTATTATATGTTACACTATAATTACATACTTACAAGTTTATCATACCAAATACCATAATGCTTAAGAAATAATACATAGGTATATATTTTCTTTTCTGATTTTGCAATGCAATGAATCATGGAAAATCAATTGA